GGTGTGAGTTGGAGAGTGAATAGGAGTGCAGAAAGTGGGTGTGACAGGTGATAGAGGGTGGGTTTGATAGGAGTGGATAGAGACAGTTGGAATAGAAGTGCTGTGGTGGAGTGCAGGACAGGTAGAATAGAGAGTACTAGGGGTAGGTAGAGTGAGTGAATAGGAGTGCTAGAGGTAGGTATGGCAGAGTGAATAGAAGTGGTGTAGGTGTGTGAGAGACAGTTGAATAGGAGTGCTAGAATTGGAGGAGAGGAGAAGTTGAATAGAAGTGAGAGTAGGTAGGACAGTTGGATGTGAATAGTTAGGGTGGGTGAGACAGAGTGAATAGGAATAGAGGTAGGATTAGAGTGGGAGACAGTTGAATAGGAAGTGCTAGAGGTAGGTGAGACAGGTTGAATAGGAATTCTAGGAATTGAGGTGGGACAGAGTGAATAGGTGTGATGTGTGTTGAGTGTGACAGAGTGAATCAGGTGAATCTGAATGCTAGAGGTGGAAGTTGTAACAGAGTGAATGGAAAGAATTACAGAAATTAGGTGCTGACAGAGTGAATAGGAGTTGATAGAAGTGGATAGGACAGTTGAATAGGTGTGCTAGAGTGAATGAGACAGTTGAATAGGAAGTGCTAGAGGTGGGTAGCACAGTTGAATAGGAGTACTAGGGTAGAGTAGGACAGTTGAATAGGAAGTGCTAGGTGTGACAGGTGAGACAGTTGAATAGGAAGTGCTAGAAATTAGGTAGAGGACAGTTGAATAGAATAATGGTAGAAATTGGAGTGGGACAGTTGAATACAGAGTGAGTAGAGGTAGGACAGACAGTTGCATAGGAGTGCTAGAGGAATTAAATTAGGAGACAGTTGAATAGAAGAATAGTGCTAGAGGTAGGTGAGACACAGTTGAATAGGAAGTGCTAGGAGGTAGGTAGGACAGTTGAATAGGAAGTACTAGAGAAGGTGAGACTGTTGAATAGGAAGTTGGAGAGTAGTGAGACAGTTGAATAGAGGGAAGTGGTGTGGGTAGAGACAGTGAATAGGAATAAGTGCTAGAAATTGGAGGTGAGACATTTGAATAGGAATAATTGTGAAGTGGTAGAGACAGTTGAATAGGAATCGTTTAGGTAGATTAAGAGACAGTTGGAATAGGAAATTGCTAGGAGTAGATGAGACAGTTGAATAGAAGTACTAGAAGTAGAGTAGGACTGAATTGAATAGAGCTTGAATTACTAGAAATTAGGTGGGAGGACAGGGTTGAGAATAGGAATAGTAGAGGGTAGGTAGGACAGAGTGAATAGGAGTGCACTGGAGAATAGAATGGAGGGACAGGTGAATAGGAGCTGCAGGGTTGGTAAGACCAGTGAAGTGTTGGAGTCAGTGGTTGTTTTTCCTCAAAATAGAAAACGTATTGCCGACACATACTGATGAACGAACATGGTGATCATTACATCCTACCGTTTCTTAACCAGGAATATCAAAAGAAATCTCTTTGGTAGAAAGTATATAGTGGTGTGTACCTTTGGATCCAGGACCAAAGCGTGTCCAAGAGTCCCTGGATGACGAAAATATAAGCTTGGTCATCTGCCCACTCCTCCACTGGTCTCTCAGGGGCGGACACTTTCGTCATCTTTCTGCAGAATGGACACAGGAAGGGACTTGGCACTGATGGCTTCTGGTCTGGTTTTGGTGTAGTTGACGATACATTTCCGACAGAAGGTGTGATTACACACAAGTGTACAGGGCTTGTCAAACACCCCTGTACATATTGTACAGGACAAGAAATGTTCCGTCAGCTTCTGAGAGGTTGCCATCTGAAACCAGGAAAATAATGTCTACACTCTTGACATCTATCTAACATTGTGCAACTGCAGGTGATTCAGAACCTCTGTACAGACAGGTGACTGTAAGTTTAACTACTCACTCACTGTCTATGTACCTCAGGTGACTGTAAAGTTATGATGCTGATGCCCACACTGTGTACATATCACGTGTTACAGATTGGTCAGATAGTCAAGTATGAAATTAAAGTGTATGGTATATACAAACACTTCCAATAGTGTCTATGGTTAATGTAACCATCTTTGGTTCTGTGGAATTACTATTTGCACACACGAATCAGTCAAGGTTATTGTGTGTAATGAATCGTCGGGTATTGTCAATGGATGTGACTGATATAAACCAATCTTTATTGAAAGCAGTCTAAGTAAACTTAGGCTCAGTATTATTCGTTACACTGCTATAAGGTCGCGTCAGCTAACCTTTTGAACTGACCAATCAGAACACAGTTTACCAAATCGCGAAAGGTAACATTCGCACATGCTGTTTGAACTTTAACCTCGAAAACGTTTGTATTCGAACGATTCCGAATGCTATTTTCCGCATGTTATATAAACTTATCTACTTATTTCACAACAAGATGTAAACAAAATGAAACTACTTAATAGATGAAAATAAACAAATAAAAATAATCAATTGAGAAACACTACTATTCCCTACGAAATTGAATGCTCAAATCTAATGTTTTGTTTAGTTGACAGTTTTGTTGAAAAACTGCTTCAATGGAGTTAGAACGTTAATTAAGAATATCGAGGTGGCGACAGAAAGGTCGACGTTATGACGTCACTATCGTTGAATAACCTAGTTTGGTTACACAATACTCGACTTTCGTTAATCAACACCTGTTTCAAATAACCAAACTCATCTCATAAAGATATTCAGAACATATGTATAATAATTAGTAACTTACCGGGTAGTAATGCACATTACCGGGCGCACTTTTTCAGATTAATTAAATCCTAAACCCTAAGGATCGTAGACTGGCAGCGAAGGGAGCCGGCGCAATTATCGCGATATAGCGAGACAGCGCTGCAGCGCAGTAGCCGTATAGCGCGAAAATTGCTCAGCGGCTGGTGCCGAGCCCGGTAAACTGCATTCAAGCCGTGACTTGGGTGGAAGGCCGCTTCGATCGTTGGAGAAAGCCCGAAGTATTGCTGGTCTCAGACGTTCGCCAACCAACAGAATAGGTTCGGTCTTAATAAACCAAGAAACATTATCAGAATTAATCGTGATTCGAGACGGCAATGACAGATCTGTGGAGTATCCAAGGGACGCAACTCTGCCCCGCGTATAGACGGAGTTACCTACAGTGAACACGTACAGTGTATCACACGTGCTGGTATGGTCTCTGCACACAGCAGGGCTGAGACATCTTAGTCTGTGATGTCCCTGGCTCGTCTAACGGTTAACATACATCCCCGTCATGCCACCTGTGTCCATGTCAAGACAGCAGTACGCCTACTGCAGTACGCACTGAGACAAAATCTACATATGTTTATTGATACAGCTATGATATCAGTACGGCATGACTATACGTAATTACTGCTACTAATAGCTTTATATTGTATTGTAGTAGCAGTGCTTGCATGACTATTACAACTTTATAATAAGCAGCAGTTTTTGTAAGACTGAAACTTTCAAACTTTAATTATTATGAACAGCGATGGGTGAACAACGGTTAGAACCAAGAGTCGAAAATCGGATTCGAACCTCTTGAACAAGGTTTCCTGTTCATGAGTCAGTGGATTTCCGAAGAGATGTTTCATATGAGCTGATCACTCGCCGGAAAGTTCCTACAAAGATTGGGCTATCCCTTGGGAACCATAAGCTGGATATAGTATCTGAATTCAAATTCCTGGGAGTGTATTTTGATCAGACACTTACAAGACATACATTAATTGAATCTACGAAGTTCCATACGTAAGCTGCATGTGACAATCATGACAATACAAAATATAAAAGGGCTGGAAACTATATTTGTGAGAGCTGATATGAGTAATGGATACAAGGTGTACATGATTGTAGATGCGGAATACTACTGGGAGGGTGGGTGTGATTGCATTATCTTAGAGCCGAGCAGTGCCGTGTATATGCCGGGATACTTGCCGCTGGGCCCTCTAGCCAAGGGAGATAATAAATTGTAACAGAACGTAACATTAACAGTGCAAGGGAGGGAACTCCCCAAAAAACTAAATCAACGTAGGCAAAGATGAACTGCAAAATGGCCACACTCCTAATTTTTAAGAACTATTTTAAATTAAAATAATACTTTAATTGAATCTACGGAGTTTAATAATACAGTATATCTTTGTAGCCGTTGTAACAGTGTTCTTTTGAAGTGTGTGTCGAAAACACAATTGGGAGCTGATAATCTACCATGTTAGTGCTATATAAAGCGCTTATCTTGTCGAGGATTGACTATGGCTGCCAAGTCTACAGGTGTGCCTCTAAAAGTCACCTCATCAAACTTGATCGCATTCAATCTAGAGCTGTTAGAATTTTCACTGGAGCTTTTGTAACTACTCCAGCCTCGGCTCTTCAGGCTGAGTGTTCTGACATGCCCTTGTTTCTCAGACGCCAAAATATACCCCTGAAATACTTTATGAAGATGAAGACTGTGGACAGCTATCATTCAGTGTCGGGTGTACTTAATGATTGTGTGGAGCATGTCATGTGTGACTGGTCCAATGGCAAGATTCCGTTTAAACATTCTGAAACTAGCAGCACAACATGGAGTTGTTCACTTTAATCCAGTACATCCATCTACGCCTTCAGAAACTGCTCCTAGGCTTCTCCTTAAGCCAGGACTATGCTATGAACTCAGTTCCATCGTTCAGAAGGATATGTACCCAAATATGGTGAAAGTGATTTCTGAGGACTTTATTCGGGAACGATATGCAGATTGTACACACATTTAGTAAGCACTGACGCCTCCAAGGATTCGACCTTGACACGTCCTGCTGGAGCTTTCTGGATCCCTACTTACACTATCTCCGATGTGTTCAGGCTTCATGATTATAAATCAGGTTTTGCAGAAGAAATCATTGCAATTCTACAAGCACTGAGGCGTGTGGGTAGAAATACATTTCAAAAGCGTGAAATAGTCGAGTCGACTGTGTCTTGTGGCTGATGGTCGTGTAGGACTGTTCATGTGAATAGTGACTCCTCTTCCTACAGATCCTGAATGCGGAGAATGTGATGGCGGTGGTGACTCGCTGGTATGGTGGCATCCATCTTGGCCCCGACAGATTCAAACACAACAACAACCTCTCGCGGGAAATCTTACATCAGCATGGCTACATCAAAGAGAAGGTGAGCAGTGGGTGGAGTTGAGGGGTGGGAATGTAGGATGAAGGGGAGCGGTGGGTATGTAGGATGAAGGGAGGGGTGGGTATGTAGGGTGAAAGGGGCGGTGGGTATGTAGGGTGAAGGGAGGTGGGTATGTAGGGTGAAGGGGAGGGAGGTGGGTATGTAGGGTGAAGGGGGAGGGTGGGTATGCGGGGTGAAGAGAGGGGTGGGTATGCAGGGGTGAAGGGGAGAGGGTGGGTATGTAGGGAGAAGGGAGTAGTGGGAATGCAGGGTGAAGAGGGAGGTTTGGGTATGTAGTCCGAAGTTGAGGCAGGGTATGCAGGGTAAATGGGAGGAGTGTGTATGCAGGGTGAAGGGAGGGGTGGGTATGTAGGGTGGAGGGAGAGGGGTGGGTATGCAGGGTGAAGAGGGAGGGGTGGGTATGCAGGGTGAAGGGGAGAGGGTGGGTATGCAGTGAGAAGGGAGGGGTGGGAATGCAGGGTGGGGATCTTATTTTCGTCGAGCAAACCTAAATAGTATGTCCGACTTCCGGCTTTCAACTTCGTTTAGTCCAAGTTCTTGCTCTAAGCTTAAATATCGTTATAGAACCATGGTCTGACATCACTGGAAGTCTATGAATCTACTGCAGGTATGCTACATGTAAACATCAGCTTTATGTGGAGCCATTCTTTGGTTTACAGGAGGATAAGAAAGGACCTCCGACCAACAAGAAAAGGTGACGTCACTCTACAAGATGCCATTGAGTCCGGAATGAGAGCTATTGTACAGGATTTATCTGAAGAGTATCTTTAAGAGCTATCAATGTTAAGGCTTCATTCACCATGGGAGCATGTGATATGTTATAGAACATTTGTAAATAATACATGGATGTGTCATAAGTTAGCTAATCATTTCTTTATTTCGTGACATTTATTCCATTTTCTTCTGCTGTCACTCAATGGTTCCCATCTATTTTCATTTGAAATATACATCTACAAAGCTAATACATTCGGATTTGGAAATGATGAGAAAACTTTTGACACATTTCTGTTGTGAATGATCTGAGCATGTGTTTTATTTGATATGGTGGCACAAAGTATGAAATGTACCATTTAATGTTTATAACAATAAGTAAGTATGTTTTTAATTAATGTCACATGGGATGAAGGAAGTAGGCTTTTTTAGGTGCAGCTGTACTGGTATTCTTTTAATGTGTACATAACTGATTGCTTGTTATCAGAATAACTTCTTTTATTGACTTTGTTTTGGACGTTGTTACAACTGAGCAGCAAGTAGCGCCTAATGTTGATGTTTTTGTTGGCTGTATGTTAGTGATGCCTATATAATTGTGATAGTATACTTTTAAGTTCAGCTGACATTGCCTTTGTGTAAAAGTGTTATGCCTTCTTTGAGTGGCATTTTAGAAGTTGGGAAGTACAATATAGAACAAACTTTATGGATAACAACTTCTTTTTATTTGTGAGTGCGACGTTTCGATAGATTCTGGTACTGTTGTCAATTCCTGCTTGACAATGGTACAAGAATCTGTATCCAAACGTCACACTCACAAATAAAAAGAAGTTGTTATCCATAAAGTTTGTTCTATAAAGTGTAATACTTCATGAAAGTGGTACTTTTCAACCTTCGAGTTCACATCCTTCATGGACATTATTTTACAATGTTGAACTACAACTACAGGTGTCTTGCCTGTATATAGTTGAGGCAACACATATATTTTACCTGGTTTCATGTATCAGTTGCTTTGTAACTGATTAGATGTCCTTACTTTTTCTTTCTGGAAACAAAGTCAAAGAGTTATCAATTTTCAAATGAAGCCAGATTTTATGAATTCATATTTTAATGTAGATTGGAATTGTTAAATAAAAGCAAAGAATTTCAGACAATTTAAAAAGATATTTCGTCAGTGTGTTACACATGAAATTTAGTGAATGACACACATATTTCATAAGAAAGATCTTTGTAATTTGCTGTGTGGAGTTGCCTCCCTTGGGCATGCCAGGAACCTGTGATGGTGGGTTTGAATCCCTAATTATGTTTTTTAGCACAATACACATACTCATGGGTTTCACAAAAGTTGTAAATTTCTGAGACTTTCATCACTTTGGGGTTTGATCCTATGTTCAACTGACACACCATGATATAACTGGAGTACTGTTCAAATGCAGAATTAAAAGCTACTCACTCACTCACGCATCCACACACTCACTCGTCAGATGGGTCAAGGGTCACAGGTCGCTTGCTGCGAGTTGTGTCCTGTCCTCACTCACTCACTCACTCACTGTGTCCTGCGTTGACTGGTCATATATTAGAATTGAGATCTGTACACAAGTATCATATTCACTGAGTCACACGTTCATCTCCAGGAAAGCATCTGGAAGTAATGTAAGTGAAATGCTGGATAAAGGTACACAAAACCCCAAATGAAATTTTACATTGACAAAGTGGCTGTCTGATTTAATCCACTTTCACTGATATAAGAGAGTTATGTGAGGGAAATGAGAACACAGTCATGTTATTGTTATGTGTTGATTCACAAGTTCCCCCAAAAGATTCAGACAAACAACTTTAAACACCTTCTCAAAGTTGGAAAATTCTCTTGAAACAAGGCAATTCTAGGTGACACTGGAAGACATTTGATTTTTATATCGACACAAGCAAAGGCCATCAAGTACTGGATAAAAGTTCTACGAATGACAATCGATCAATGCCCTAACCCGTTTTACCAAATGCTTAAATCACTCGATGATGTAGGAAAGAGAAACTGGACTTCTGATATTCGAGAAACATCGTTCAACCTGGGATCTCTCATGTATAGATCGCCCAGGATGTCGGAGATGCAGACAATTCTTATCACGTTTTAAACAGCGCCTCAAAGATATATCACTTCCAAACTTGCATCATGAGATAAACAGTTCCAGTTTTCTTATCCATTACATTTCATTCAAGTTTTCACTGGAAAGTGAATCATATATCACGAACAACAGGAACAAACAGCTACAAGAGTTTACTTCAAGTTTAGAACATTGCTAACTATCTTCAAGATAAACGGTAAAGTAAAGCATAGATACAACAGCGACCATCCGGGTATGTGAACTTTGTAATTGTAACCTTAATGAAGACGAGAACCGCGTATGTTTTGTTTGTGACAAGGACAGTGAAGTCCGAATTAGAGCCAGATATCTACAGAAGCTACAATCAGTCTCCAGAGCCAGATATCTACAGAAGCTACAACCAGTCTCCAGAGCCAGATATCTACAGAAGCTACAATCAGTCTCCAGAGCCAGATATCCACAGAAGCTACAATCTGTCTCCAGAGCCAGATATCTACAGAAGCTACAACCAGTCTCCAGAGCCAGATATCTACAGAAGCTACAATCAGTCTCCAGAGCCAGATATCTGCAGAAGCTACAATCAGTCTCCAGAGCCAGATATCTACAGAATCTACAATCAGTCTCCAGAGCCAGATATCTACAGAATCTACAACCAGTCTCCAGAGCCAAATATCTACAGAAGCTACAATCAGTCTCCAGAGCCAGATATCTACAGAAGCTACAATCAGTCTCCAGAGCCAGATATCTACAGAAGCTACAACCAGTCTCCAGAGCCAGATATCTACAGAAGCTACAATCAGTCTCCAGAGCCAGATATCTACAGAAGCTACAATCAGTCTCCAGAGCCAGATATCTACAGAAGCTACAACCAGTCTCCAGAGCCAGATATCTACAGAAGCTACAACCAGTCTCCAGAGCCAGATATCTACAGAAGCTACAATCAGTCTCCAGAGCCAGATATCTACAGAAGCTACAATCAGTCTCCAGAGCCAGATATCTACACAAGCTACAATCAGTCTCCAGAGGCCCACCAACCGTTGAGGCTATTTTCATGTCACAAAGCAGTCATGCACAGCACCTAATAGCTGTATAACTGAATGAAATATTTAAAATAAGATCTATATGAATTCAAATGTTCATGATCACGGGTAATTTATATTGTATTTGCCAACTGTATCATAGACCTTATGGCCCAAATACTACTTCTGTCTGTCTGATTCCCAAGTTGAAAGTACAAAGTAAGCTGAGTATTAGGCTGTAAAGATACTCTGAGATACAAACAACAAAGAAATGTGATGTATTTAACAATTGTGTTCTAAGATTAACAAAGTAGAATCAGTACAATTTGAAAGATAAACTGAAATGCAAGCAACAAAGTGCTGCTTTTAGCAATATTCCTGCAATATCACGACAGGGGACACTAGAAATGGGCTTCACACATTGTACCCATGTGGGGAACTAAACCGGGAAGCTTGTCGAGCAAAGGCCTTAACCACGAGGCTACCCCACCGCCCCACAAGCAATAAAGACAATGATGGTACTATTCACCACTCAGTAACATTCATCCAACATGATAGCAATGACTAGCCAGATAGGACCATCACACACAATGGTGGTCTTCTTGTGGCTTGAGATGTAATGTGAGGCTTGAAGCAAGAGTTAGCTCCCCTAACGTGCCAGATATTTCGATACTGTTCTGTGCCGCGCTACACAACATATATCACCGCCACATTACACTTTTCCTCAGTGTTATACCCCGTTGCGCGTTTAGCGGTCACAAGGTCATTTCAAGGTCACAAGGGGACTTTAACGTTTTACCTTTGTCGGCAAGATATCTCAAGAGCCGTTCACTGGATTGTCTTATATTTGACACCAAGCTTCATCTAGGGAAGGCGCAGGGCCCACTGACACTTTAAAAATTTCAGTATGTTCAGGGGCGGATACAGCCTTTTGAGAAAAGGGGGTGGATGGGTGGGTGTTTGCGCACTATTGAGAAAAGGAGGGGTACACACTTCATTTTCACCAAGTTTTCATCCCTCCGCCCCGTTCTGGATCCCTCGTCCTGGGGTAGATGTATGTGGGATAGAGGATCCTGACAGATCTAAAGTCTCTGGATCCCTCGTCCTGGGGTAGATGTATGTGGGGTAGAGCATCCTGATAGATCTAAAGTCTCTGGATCCCTCGTCCTGGGGTAGATGTATGTGGGGTAGAGGATCCTGACCAGATCTAAAGTCTCTGGATCCCTCGTCCTGGGGTAGATGTATGTGGGGTAGAGGATCGTGACCAGATCTAAAGTCTCTGGATTCCTCGACCTGGGGTAGATGTATGTGGGGTAGAGGATCCTGACCAGATCTAAAGTCTCTGGATCCCTCGTCCTGGGGTAGATGTATGTGGGGTAGAGGATCCTGACAGATCTAAAGTCTCTGGATCCCTCGTCCTGGGGTAGATGTATGTGGGGTAGAGGATCCTGACAGATCTAAAGTCTCTGGATCCCCCGTCCTGGGGTAGATGTATGTGGGGTAGAGCATCCTGACCAGATCTAAAGTCTCTGGATCCCTCGTCCTGGGGTAGATGCATGTGGGGTAGAGGATCCTGACAGATCTAAAGTCTCTGGATCCCTCGTCCTGGGGTAGATGCATGTGGGGTAGAAGATCCTGACCAGATCTAAAGTCTCTGGATCCCCCGTCCTGGGGTAGATGTATGTGGGGTAGAGGATCCTGACAGATCTAAAGTCTCTGGATCCCCCGTCCTGGGGTAGATGTATGTGGGGTAGAGGATCCTGACAGATCTAAAGTCTCTGGATCCCTCGTCCTGGGGTAGATGTATGTGGGGTAGAGGATCCTGACAGATCTAAAGTCTCTGGATCCCTCGACCTGGGGTAGATGTATGTGGGGTAGTGGATCCTGACCAGAACTAAGGTCTGAGGTGCATGACGTAACAGGATCTTGGTCTGAAGTGAGGCCTGCGGGAGATGGGATAGCCTAACTTAGTCTGACGTGATGCCTGCGGGAGATGGGATAGCCTAACTTAGTCTGAAGTGATGCCTTTGGGAGATGGGATAGCCTAACCTGGTTTAAAGTGATGCCTGCGGGAGATGGGATAGCCTAACTTAGTCTGAAGTGATGCCTTTGGGAGATGGGATAGCCTAACCTGGTTTGAAGTGATGCCTGCGGGAGATGGGATAGCTTAACCTGGTCTGAAGTGATGCCTGCGGGAGATGGGATGGCTTAACCTGGTCTGAAGTGATTCCTGCGGGAGATGGGATGGCTTAACCTGGTCTAAAGTGATGCCTGCGGGAGATGGGCTGGCTTAACCTGGTCTAAAGTGATGCCTGTGGGAGATGGGATACCCTTACTTAGTCTGAAGTGATGCCTGTGGGATATGGGATAGCTTAACCTGGTTTGAAGTGATGCCTGCGGGAGATGGGATTGCTTAACCTGGTCTGAAGTGATTTCTGCGGGAGATGGGATAGCCTAACTCAGTCTGAAGTGATGCCTGTGGGAGATGGGATAGCGTAACCTGGTTTGAAGTGATGCCTGCGGGAGATGGGATGGCTTAACCTGGTCTGAAGTGATTCCTGCGGGAGATGGGATAGCCTAACTTAGTCTGAAGTGATGCCTGTGGGAGATGGGATAGCTTAACCTGGTTTGAAGTGATGCCTGTGGTAGAAAGAATGGGATAGTGGATCCTGTCTACAAGTGATGACCGTATAAATGTGGCACTGCTAAGGAATGCAATTTGTACGGCTGCGCCTCATATGCTTTGGTCTTTACAAGTACTAACAATGCAATTAGTTGACTTTGTTTTATCCAAGTATTGCCTTTATGAAGTGTCTAGCTTTCATATTTTAAGAAGTAATTCTTGCACATTGCCTTTTGCACTTTGACCATGCTCTAATATTCATTTAAAATATTTTTTCTCGCATTTTTAACATCATGTCCTCAGAAGCTTTTGACAAAGAATCTGAAACAAGGTGACCTTTGAAAAGGATGTCAAGGCGTTTCAGTCTGATGTTTTGATTATGGGTAGTTTGACACCTGAAGACCATTACTGAGACATCTCTGCTCAAATCCTAATGCTTGTAAACATTGTAAGGTGTTGACTATATATCCCAGTGTGGTACAGACCTGTGGCACTGTATATATCATTGTTCTGTACATTTTGTGGACTGTCTCCGTAACAGACCCAGCGGTCTTGAGAAATGTCACCCATTGACCTTATTTGCATGACCTTTGAATATGCCCATACTGCTCGCCTTAGAATCACCCTCTGGTATGCAGGGTGAGGTGAGGTGAAATTGGGTTTAACGTCGTGCTTGAGAATATTTCGCTCATATGAAGACGTGCATGCGTGTGTATGTGTATGTGCGGCTGCTTGTACTAGCCCAGACTGAAGCTGGTTTTAGAGTGCTAGCCCACTGCGATACCATGCCGCAGTGAAGCATGAATACCCCACTCAGACACATTATACTGACTCCAAGCCGACCAGCCCGTGTTGTACCCATTAATGCCGAGTGCCAGGCAGGGACCAACAAGTACCATATTTTAACGTCTTTTGGTATGACGCGGTTGGGGATCGAACCCGCGACCTTCCGCTCTCCGGGCGGACGCTCTAACCACTACACCACGGAGGTGGTCTGGTATGCAGGGTGTTTATAGCCACTGTATTGTGTCAAGTACTCTTGCTGCATGACAAATTCAAATACAACATTTCCTTCCCAGTGAATGTAAGACTTCTCTATACCTGGACTTGGACAGCTCCAAAGGAAGTCAGCACTGGCACTTTGATCAGTATCCGGTCTCCAGTAACTGGGTCACACTAATAACTGTTGACGTCTCCCCCAGTTTGAATAAAGGATTTGTATGATTTTCTGTAACACGAGGCCTCTAAATCGTGAAAACTACACCTGGCACATCTGTTTTAATGTCTTTTTGGGGGGTACATTGTCTGAGCTTTAAACAATGACATGTCATGTTTCCTTCTGTGTTTTGTGTCATTGATGGGGAACATTGTCTCAACTGTGTATTGTGTAAGTACCTGTCATCGTAATGCACAGAGACCTACAGTTTTAGGACTGACTTCTTACAATTCAGGTTTACGTCTGCAGTTTGTCTGTGTTGCAATTTTATAACATGATGTTTAAGTGGAAATTTACGTCCAAACTTAATGTTTTACATAGCTATTTGTACGTGGCGATCAAAGGTTCCTGGTAATGGGTAACACTCCCATAGTTGAACCCTGAGTCATTGGGGCTTAAGAATGTGGTCGTTGTACTTGGTTCAGACTTGACACGCTGGGTCTCAACAGTTACAGTAGTGGACACCCAGGCTACAATGCAGTACACATCAAGGCTTTTAGAAATAATTAGTTTATGATGCTAACAATTCCACAGTTGAACTCTGAGCCAGAGTGCAATTTGAACACATTAACAATTAATTATTTTATTAAGCTTTCAACCCAGGTTTCACAGATTTGGAATGAAATTATTTTTGATAACTAATTCGCTCTCTTGAGTCGGTTGGCTAATGAATCTTGAATCCAGGTCTTCAGCGTAACGACTGAATACTTTACCACTGGGTTACTGACAGACTCTAATTCACTTAATACATGGCCATAATTAGATCGTTCTTAATACAAACTTGGAATACGTGTTGATTGACTTGAAATCAGTGTCGAAGAGAAGCATAAGTGACATAAATACTCACATTATTTTAAATTGATTTTATTGATTTCCTTAAGTGGCATAGAAATTGGTATGATGAAAAGGGCAATTGTTTAAAGAAAGACAACTTGTTTGTTGTAATGGGTGCCACGTTTCGGTGTAGATGCTGACACCGTTATCAAGCAAGTGATACACAACATTATCAACAAGGAGAATATATACATGAAAGATGGTTGAGCCAACCGGTTTCACTTTGTTGATAGTGCTATAGAACATTGATCTATCGTGTGCTACAAGACATAGTATTCTGTTTATCTAATGGCTGTGAAACATGTGTCACACATATCGGTTATTCAATTAAGTGATGATATCTCATGTATTGGAGACATACATATACCTGAGGTATCCAAAATATAATCTTTAAGATTTCTTGTCTATGCTCCACATCATACTGTCCCGGCGTTTAAAGATCCTTCCCTGATGACGTAAGGGAGCTGAGAGAGTGAATACTCCTACGTCACGTCAGACACGCAAGACAAGTGAACACCTTAACAACTCCTTTAGTGCCGAAACAAACATACATGTAACCAGATGGGTCTACACACAGACAGCCACAGGAAGGTCAATATCGCCCTCTTCTGTCAGTATGTTTCTGACAAACTGTCCTGACTCAGTGAGATGGATGACTCTGTGTAGACTGTAGTCTGTAACCAGGATGTCGCCTGTGTCGGTACTTGTGATACCATGAGAACTCTCCAGTGCTGTGTCTCCTGTAGGGCTGTAGCTGAACACCAAATCTCCCTCGGGGGTCAGACACACGACACACTTGGTTCCCCTGTCAGACACCAGGATGTTACCTGTCAGCGTGGTACTGAGGAAGTCGGGATCCTGTAAGATGCTGTTACCTTTGTGGCGTGAACTGATAGACCTCAGCACGTTTCCTGTCATATCCAGGATATCAACACAGGGAGGAGACGGGGAACTAGCTGCTAGTGTTGATGGAGTCAGGGATGTTATACCCATATACCGTTTTCTGGTTGTGATGGTTGTCTGTAACTCCAGGTCTGGTTTGACTTTTACTGTTACAATCTGTTTGGTGTCTGGCACAGTGACAGCCACCCGGTTGTGTCAACTTGGTCAGACTGAATGGGTCACCACTCAGTCTGAGTTTACTGTGCTGTGTCTGTTTGTTCTTGACGTAGAAGGACTTCACACTGGTGTTTTCCCAGTCTGTGACTACAACGGTGTCTGTGTCATTCACCACCAGCTGTGTCACGTCAATGGGGATTGGTTTACTCTTATCGCCTGCTACTGTGATGTCAATGGTGTCTTGTAACACAGGAGTAGCCTTCAGGTCCAGCACACTCTCATACAGGACCTCTATCTCACCCAGCTGTAGATCGTCCAGTGCTTTACTCAGCTTGTCTGTGTCTTGTCTGAATGTGACACTGGCTATTCTTCCTCTCTCCTTCAGGTCAGCGTCTCCGACAGCCTCCACATCACCGACCTCACATCCCTGATACATCTCATAAACATCCATGTCACACTCAGATTGTAGAGCCTGGTCTATCAGCTCCGTCTGATGTTGGTACATCAGTACCGACATCTCGCCTGTCTTAATGTCTGCTTTCAATTGTCTGATGTGTTTCTGTGAAATATCTTTCATTAGATTGAGTAGCTTCCTTTCTTTTTTCTTGGCCCGATCTATAACTTTCTGGCATGCGGAATGAATATGTGACTTCATCAGTGAATAATGATCTCTCTCTCTCTGCTCCTGCAACTTTTGTTCCTTCACACGAAGTTTCGTCTCATCTTCCTTCTTTGATAATGACTTCTTCATTTCTGTCAGATCTGTTTTCATTGTCACCATCTGTGAGGTGATCGTGACAACGGCATCACATTTCCTGTGGTATTGTATGCAACATTTCTGACACACGGCCTTCTTGCAGTCCTGACAGAGAAATTCTAGCGACTCCTGTTTGTGTTCCTTGCACATGGCCTTTCGCTTTCCCTTGACCTTGACCTCTCCAGACAGGTCAGTGACGTCATGGTGACGAAATGATGGGATGCGGTTGTGAGCTCCAGTACATTTCTCACAGAGTGCATCATCACAGACGGAGCACCAAGCAACAGCCGCAGTTGTCTCCCCATGTTCTTGGCAGTAGGTACAATTGGTCGTATCTGTAAACACATCACATTTGCAAAATAACATCTCGCCTACTTGAAACACTTACACATGTTTATGTCTCTCTATTTATCTTTATAGCACAGGAAACCCTAGTAATAAACATTGACCAACTCAGTAAGACCCTACTGACACGTTTCTGAGACCATCACTGATTGAATTCTGTTGAGCACCCAGCGACACATAAGCTGGCCACTTTATATGGTACACCTGTAGTCCATCTGTGGGCGTTGCTTTATACACGGGAGTCTCAGTACAATGGTGAAGGAGTCATGGCATTGGACAGGCAATGGCATTGCTAGGGTGGATAAGACAGGTGATTGAGAGTGCTAGGGTGGGCGTGACAGGTGGATGGAACTACTTGGATGCAGAAGACCGATCCATGGGACTGCTAGGATGGATGGGACAGGTGAACTGGACTACTTTGGTGGGGTGGGACAGATGATTGGGAGAATCGGGGTGAGTGGGACAGGTGAATAAGGATGCTGGGGTGAGTGGGACAGGTGAATGGGAGCGTTGGGGTGGATGGGACAGGTGAATTGGAGAGTCGGGGTGGGTGGGACACGTGAATGGGAGTGTTGGGGCGGGTGGGACAGGTGAATGGGACAGTCGGGGGTGGTGGAACAGGTGAATGGGACTGCTGGGCTGGGTGGGACAGGTGGATGGGAGTGTTTTGTTGCGTGGGACAGGTGAATGGGAGTGTTGGGATGGGTGGGACAGGGAAATGGGATTGTTTGGGTGGGTGGGACATTCTTCTGCCACTAACCTACTGACATAGACCACTAGACCGGTTTTATTTGCAGCAAATATTATTTGGTTACTTTTGCACATTTGGCCAACGATTTAAGAATTCCTCTGCGGAAATGGAAACAGACGGGCAGACATGGTGATCGCTATATCTCACTGTTTCTCAAACAGGAATATACATATATCTCTTTGGTTGAGGGTTTAAAGTTGTAGCTACCTTTCGATCCAGGACCAAACGAGTCCAAGAGTCCCTGGATGAGAAAGATAGGTTTGACGTCATCCGCCCACTCCTCCACTGGTCTCTCAGGAGCGGACACTTTCGTCATCTTTCTGCAGAATGGACACAGGAGTGTCTTGGCACTGATGGCTTCTGGTCTGGTTTTGGTGTAGTTGACGATACATTTCCGACAGAAGGTGTGATTACACACAAGTGTACATGGCCTGTCAAACACCTCTGTACATATTGTACAGGACAAGAAATGGTCCGTCAGCTTCTGAGAGGTTGCCATCTGAAACGAGGTAAATAATGTCTACACTTTTGACATTTATCTAACATTGTCCAACTGCAGGTGATTCAGAACCTCTGTACAGACAGGTGACTTTAAAGTTTAACTCACTCACTCACTGTCTCAATGTACCTCAGGTGATGTTGATGCCGCAGTGCATACATATCACGTTTTACAGATTGGTGAGATAGTCAAGTATGCAATTAAAGCTTATGGCATATATAAACGCTTCCAATAGTGTCTATGGTATATGTAACCATCTTTGGTTCTGTGGAATTACGATTTGTACACACGAATCAGTCAAGGATATTGTGTGTAATGAATCGTCGGGTGTTGTCAAGGGATGTGAATAGTCAATATCAATGGTAAAAAAGTTCCATCAAACTTTGTGGCAGATTAATTCTGAAATCTAATAATGAGATCAAGAGTAGTAAAAGACTATTTGCAGTCCCACACGGCCATGTGTTGGTCGACCTAGAAGTCGTTAGATATGGACAGCCATAGCATGTGATATCTCCGTGGCTTCAGGGGCCACATGCACGAAGCCATCTTAGCCCTACGACTATCTTATGTCTATACTGAAGCAAGGGTGTTGCGAGTGCTGTAGAGCTAAGATCGCTTTACATGCAAATTAAATGACCCAGCAAAAAGCGGCACGGATTGCCCAGCCGTCTGAGGTGCGGTGATTGTTTTTCAACACCAAGTATGTTATCCTAAATATTATAGTTCCTAAATATAACATAGTTATACTTGATAGAGGAACAGTAAAAACAGAAAAAGACCATTTTCCAAGTATCACAGGAGCACAAAAGCTGACTGAATACTTCATGTGTCATTCCGTGTTGATCACGTGTGTTCATTACCATAACGAAAGTAGACAACATGCACTTCCTTGTCGTGTACACTATCTACATGTACGATGTATGTAGGGCACAGGCAACACACGGGAGATTGTGGCGGCTGTAGACCACGACAGGAGACTAATACACACACACTGCTGGCATAAACAACACATAATTATCATTGTTGACATAAACTATACATAATTATCGACTCACTATATTCGTCAAGATCTGACGGAATACAACAAACAATATTCGACTTTGGACTGAGGCCTTGGACAGGGCGTAAATAGTTATAAATATACTGAATACTTGATACATCAGAAAACCAGAAACAGTGTGCTTGTGTTTCCATCAATACCAGGACCAACCATCCAGTATTTGAAACATTATGATGTATAGCAACTCACCGCACTGTCCACCTTCACACTTCACAATCGCCACTTGCCGTGTGGGCGTCATCAACGGTGTAGAGGGTAAATGTACACCCGCAACAAAGTATTACCTGTCATGACAGGTAAAGATGATCTTGTGCGATATCTACACTTCGTAGCAAAGGGGAAGGACCAGCAAAATGGTTGGGCGCTGACAAACCTAAAGAACTGTCGGAAATAGAAAACAACTGTTTTGACGCTGTTACTCTATATCCCTAAAATTACACAATTGCAAATAACATAATGGAAATAGCCCACATCGGCCTAACAGAGCGTTCAGTGGGATACATAATTGGATATCCAGAAAAAGCATGTCAAAGCTTAGAAAAATCGGAATAGCTTTTGAAAACAATAGATCAGACTAAAGATGGCAATTAGGTCGCTCAGCCTCCGGTGTTGTTTTAATTAATCTCCATATTTAGTGTCTAAGATGTGGGTGTCTGAAATGCATGTGCTGCCTACAGGCACAAGGGGTTATCTCAAAGAAGATTTTATGCTTTTCATGTGTGTTGAATATGTTTCATCTTTTGATTACGTGTCTTTCTTTCATAAAGTTTGTGTTGAGATGTGTAAGAGAGTATGATACCCATAGAAAAGATTAAATCAGCTATCGTATTAAATGTCGCAACATAAACTCTGTCAAAAAAGAAACGCAACCCCTGTATTTTAGAGATTTTGATCTGAAGTTTTAGGACGACACGGCATTTTTATTATTTAAGACAGAAGTCTGAAATTTGGCAGAATAATAACCCAGATGGGCATGTTTAAAATTGTCATTTCAAAAGTCATCTCACAGACACCAGTTTGTCACCAGGGGGGCGTCTTTCTCAGTATCTCGTATGAGCACCACGCGCTGCAATCACTGCACGGCATCTCCTTGGACAAGAACGGATAAGACGCCGGATTCTTTCCTGGGGAATGGCTCTCCACTCCTCCTGCAGTGCAACGGCGAGCTGTTGCAGCGTCTGTGGCGGCGGCTGACGTTGACGTACGCGTCGATCCAGAGTATCCCACAGGTGTTCAATAGGGTTGAGGTCTGGTGATTTAGAGGTCATGGCAAGACATTGACGTTGGAATTCTGCAGAAAGTTCATTGTTGCACGTGCAGTATGAGGCCGGGCGTTGTCCGTTGAAAAATCTGTGTCTGTTGGTCAATAATCGGGAGAAGGTGAAGCTCTAACACGTGGTTGATGTAGCGTTGGGCTGTCAGGTTCCTTGAACGATCACCAAGTCTGATTTCTGGTTGTATGAGATGGTTCCCCAAACCATGACGCTTTCTCCGCCAAATCTGTCCACCTGTCGGACGCAGATGGGCGCAAAACGTTTATGACGTCTCCTATACAGACGCTGTCTTCCGTCGTGACGTTGCAAAAGAAACGTGATTCATCAGAAACCAGATTCGCCTCCAGTTTTGTAAAGTCCGTATCCTTACGTTGTTGCACCACCTGAGTCGTCGAGCGTCGATGTAGGGCGTAGTACAGGTCCAACAACTGGTCTACAGGCACGTAAACCCGCTTCTTTCAGACGGTTCCTAATCGTTTGAGCTGACACTCTCCTCAAACCTGGTATTTGTGTGGCAGTCACGGTTGGTAGGGCATGCCGATTACGCAGGTGATGGACCCGGATGTACCGATCTTGAAGGGGTCGTGATTCTTGGCCTTCCACTTCTCGGGCGATCGTTGGTCAAATTGAAGTTGTTGTAGCGGCTCCAAAGTCAGGGATATCGTTGTTTTGTGAACATTTAGGTGCCGTGCAACAGTTCCAAAACTTTCTCCGGCGAGACACGACCAATGGCGATATTTCGGTCAGCAGCACTCAATCGTGGCATTTTAACACAGCTTTTCGGCGACAAATGAATGAATATAATACGGAAGCACATGGGCTTTTATACACCCCTACATTAACTGCCATTTTCATGATTTGCATGTGTTTTTTTTGTGCGAAGTCACCATGAGGGTCATTTCATGCGTTGTGACGGAATAAGCAATAAAATACACTTGTGCGTACAAATGCAGTTGTTTGGATGGTAATCTTCATTAATTACGTGCATCATTTCAATACATTCGAATAAAATTTAGTTTGGAAGCAATAACTTCATTCAAACGAATTTTTTCATATCTGAGGACAGGGGTTGCGTTTCTTTTTTGACAGAGTTTATATAGGTGGCATGACCACCCGACGATCGACAGGACTGGATGTTATTTGTAAATTGTTATGACATGCCGTTTACTTTCCCAGCTTAATTCCCTTAAAGGATTATCATATCTTAGCTGATGGTGTGTGGAATTTCCGTCCCTTGTTTCAGTCTCCCTTTCCCAAAACTTCAGATACTCCTGGCCATCAGAATCTGTTTTAAATTGAACTTCACCCCATTTTCATTTTCTGCTTTCACCCCACCCACGCAATCCAAACACTTTAGTAAAATAGTACCGTAATATGTTCAAAATTGACAGAGGTGAATGACTCCCAAATTGGCCCATTTCCCACAACCCTTCCTCGTCTTCCACTGACAGAGACTCCGATATATTTGGGGCCGATTCCTCTTACCTGTTTTAGTTCTTTAGTTTTGGCTTCAAGAACTTTTCTACTGGCAAGGAATTCTGCATCTTGCACAATGTTAGAGGGGTCATCGTTGTCAGGATCGTGGCGATCAATGGCACGATGGTAGGATGTTAATGTTTCAGGTTCGTAAGGTTCACCATTGTCCTTCTCTAGAGAAAGAATGTAGGATCCAATAAGAACATCAAGTTCTTGAGGAGGGAGGGTCAGCATGTCTTGTTTCACATTGTTTTCCATTAAAAATGGTTGCATTTAGAAACAAGACTGTTTGTTTTCTTTACCGTGGTGACACTTTTCTTGGTCTCGATGTATGCCTTGAAATCGTTGATGTTCTTTGTTACGAGAGGCACTGGTGATGATTCCAAAGTAATCATAGAGTATTTCAGTTCAAACGTACCAAAATTCTCGTCCAATAACATGCCAAATAAGTCTTGATGGATAGTACCATCGATGTCATTGTTGCCGACATTTTGACAACAAGCAGACGATGTATGTGACGTGAAAAAAGACAAACACATTTTTTTCTTTCAATCTTTTAATGTAATCAACAAGTACGATATTGTTTTAAGTTTCTAAATTAATCATATACAACCTAACAATCATATTATTATATTCAATTGACACACCTCCCGCTAGCTGGGTACGGAAAATCCCGGAAAGTGCCGAGCTTTAGAGAAAGTAGAACCGGCAGGGGTTCAATACGGAATCTGGGGTGCAGTACGGAATTTGACCACGTCATCCGTATTGCAGCCCTGTATTACTATCCTAAGTTTACATGGGTAAGTAATGAAAAAGTAGAATACGGGTTGACTTGAAATCAGTGTTGAAGAGAAGCATAAGTGACATAAATACTCACAACATTTAAAATTGATTTCCTCGAGTGGCATACAGAAGCTGGTATGATGAACAGGTGCGATGTTTTAAAGGAAGACTATTGCAGTGGATGCCCTGTTTCGGTGTAGATGCTGACACCGTTATCAAGCAGGTGATACACAACATTATGAACAAGGAGAATATATACATGAAAGATGTTTGAACCAAACGGTTTCACCATGTTGTACTGTAGTACATGGGTCTAACGTTTACATTCGTCACCACTCGCCCCTTTCCGTCATTAGTTTTTTCTTCATACAAAATTAGAGTACGGGGGATTGACTTGAAATCAGTGTCGAAGAGTAGCATAAGTAACATAAATACTCACATTATTTAAAACTGATTTCATTGACTTCCTTGAGAGGCATATTGAAGCTGATATAAGGATGAACAGGAACCATTTTTAAGGACAGACAACTTGTGTATTGCAATGGATGCGACGTTTCAGTGTAGATGCTTTATCTTTCTTGTCTATGCTCCACATCATACTGTCCCGGGATTTAAAGATCCTTTCCTGATGACGAAAGGAGACTGAGAGTGTATCAAGGCGATACAGATCAACATGAGCTCGATACAGGACAATATCAATACGCTGAACAAGAAATTCGATGATTTTACGAGCGATTTCAGTGGCAGATTGGATGGTCTGAAAAGTGAAAACGTGAGTTTGAATGAACGAGTCGTTTTTCTTGAAAAGAAAGTAGATACACTTGAAGCTCATTCACGACGCAACAATGTTATTTTCTTCGGCCTGACTGAGAGCAGAGGTGAGACGTGGGAACAGACAGAAACCAAAGTGAGAGAATTCTGTAAGGAGAGAGACATCATTGATGACAGTGATACTGTTTCTATCGAGAGGGCTCACAGATTGAACTCTAAAGGCACTAACTCACCGATAATTGTTAAATTTGCATCCTACAAAGATAAGCAGAGGGTAACTAAGTCGGCCCGGCTTAAACTTAAAGGCGACAAACAACATCGGGTATCGGAAGACCTTACAGAGAGGGTACGATGGATAAGATCACAACTGTTCCCTGTGATGGAGAAAGCGTGAAGCGAAGGCAAATTTTCGTTTATGAGTTATGATAAGCTTATCATTGAAGGCAGTGTGTATGCGTATGACGAAGCTAGTGATAATGTCAGGCAGGTCGGACAGAGGAAGAATTGGGAGCGACGACAACCATCGGGACCTACGTCATCGACACAACCCCCTTCGTCCCCCAGATAGGATACCGGCCGTGACCTTAGTGACCAAAATCATACTCAACCTTGTAACATTGAGAAAGATAGAACCGAACTGATTACTAGCTCTCTTGTTTTATCTTTTCTTTCCTGGAACATTCACGGTTTACATTCAAAATTGGAAAATAACGATATTTATAGGCTGTGCAAAACTTTTGATGTATTCTGCTTTCTGGAAACAATGTGTCCGCCGGCAAGCGAAGCATATGATAAGCTCGAGAATGTATTTAACCTTTATAAATGTTTCATTGTAGATGCTAAACGAGAAAGTGAACGAGGTAGATTTTCAGGAGGAATCAGTGTTTTCATTAACTACAAAGTAGTTTCTTATTTTCAGAGACTTTATGATCAATGGGCAAATGTTATTGTTTTCAAACTGAACGCAAAAGTGTGTCCTACCACCATATTTGTTTTATTTGTATACATTCATCCCGAATATTCAAAGGAGTATGCAAATGCAGATGAGGATGGAATTTCAGCTCTTGAGAAGAAGCTTTTGCATATTCTATCAGACTATGGAGATGATATTAGTTTTATCCTTATGGGAGATTTCAATGCCCGAACTGCAGATGAAACAGATTGCATAATAAATGACGACATGCATTATTTGCCGCTTAACGATGATTATAGAGAAGATTCATTTGATATACCAAGAAACTCATGTGATACACAAATCAACAACTACGGTAGAAGTTTTCTAAACTTGTGTAAAGTGTTCAACCTCCACATAGTAAATGGGAGGTCATTGGGAGATGTACATGGTAACTTTACATTCATATCGCGAGCAGGAGCCAGTGTGGTGGACTACGTCTTAGTATCAAGTACTATATTTCCTAAAATCAGTGACATGACTGTGATTCCAAGATCAGAATCTGACCATATGCCTATAGCATGTACATTTAATGACATCAAAAGGAAAGATACTGCACCAGTGTCTGGATCAGACATGCCACTCTACACGATGCCCAGATACAAATGCAGCAATACGGACAAAGAACAATTATCTAGCGTTGTTGCAAACGACAAGATAAATGTACTGATATCTGAATTTCTGGAATACTTAAACTTGGATATAAATCGTGCAGTTAGCAAATTATCAGACGTCGTGGCAGCAACAGGAAAACGAGTATTACCACGTAATTCAAACTCTAGTCAAGCTCCTAAACAACCTCCCTGGTTTGATTATGAATGCCAACAACTTAAAACGGCGAAATACAGGTGTCTCCACAAGTTCAGGACGTTTAATTGTGATAAAAAACAGAAATTATTATATTGATGCAAAGCATGCCTTCAAAGAATGTTGTAAACTTAAGAAAATCAGATACAACAGAAAAATTGAAGATGGCATCACCGTTGCGGCGGCACGTGGGGACTGTAAAGAATTCTGGAGTAAAGTAAAACAGGCATTCCGAACAAACATTGATTCATGTATTTCCGCAGCTGACTGGCAAGCCTACTTCACTGATCTGTTAAATCCTGAAATAGAAGTAACTGCCTCAGAGTTTGACCAACAAGTAAAACACTTCCTCGAACATCACTCGTGTAAGGACTGCGATGGGTTAGCGCACCAAGATATTTATTTAAACAGTGAAATCTCTGAAGAAGAAATTAGAAAATCTATATATGATCTTAAATCAAATAAATCACCAGGCACTGACGGGATACCCCCAGAACTGTACAAACTATCATGTAATATTTTAATTCCATATGTGAAGATGCTATTCAACAAGATTTTGGACAATGGTCTGTTTCCTACAAACTGGAATATCGGCGTTATTATACCACTGTTTAAATCTGGATCCAAGAAAGAACCATCGAATTATAGAGGAATATCAATACTAAATTCAATGGGAAAACTTTTTATTTCAATTATAGAGAAAAGATTAAGGATGTGGGTTGAGTTAAACGAAATATTATCCGAAAGTCAAGCTGGTTTCCGCCCTCAATATTCAACAACTCACCATATTTTTACTCTTCAGGCTTTGTGTTCGAAATATTTGTGCAAACCCAAAGGTCGTTTCTACTGTGGTTTCGTTGACTTTAAAAAAGGCATTTGACTTTGTGGACAGAGATAAACTGCTATATATTTTGATTCAACGCGGCTGTCACGGAAAGATAACTATGTTGCTTAAAAGTATGTACGCATCGGTGAAAGCCAGTGTAAGAGTGCATACTGATTCAAGAACTGAAACTTTTGATACTTCCCGTGGAGTGAGACAAGGGTGTATTCTCAGCCCCCTCCTCTTCCTTCTCTTTATTAATGAATTTGCAACAGAGCTCTACCAATCAGGCAACAATGGAATTTTTGTTACGCAAGATATACAAGATCTATTACTGCTAATGTTTGCTGATGACATCGTCCTTTTTTTGCTACCAGTGTAATAGGTCTACAGCGCCAGCTTAATATCCTGGAATCATTCTGTATCAAATGGGGATTACAGCTGAATCTTAACAAAACAAATATCATTGTGTTTCGCAACGGAGGAATTCTGAGACATTCTGAAAAGTGGACTTTTTGTAAAAATCCTCTTAAGGTGGTTACATACTATAAATATCTCGGCATAATATTTTCATCTAGGCTCGTGTGGACAAAAGCCTGTGAAACACTTGCTCAACAAGCAAGTAAAGCCTGCCTCTCTGTTTTCAGACTTTTTAACAAGTATCAAGAACTAACCTATTCAAGTGCAAGAACTATATTTGATCGAAAAGTGGCACCTATACTACTATACGGCTCGGAAATATGGGGACATAAATATTCTGATGTAATCGAGAGGGTCCATACTATGTATTTCAAACGATTTCTGAAAATAGGAAAATGTGCTTCAAACAAAGCCACACTTGGGGAGCTTGGACGTCACCCCATCTACGTATTAACACAGATTCGTGTAATCAAGTTTTGGTTCAAGATACTCAGTATGAATGAACAACGCTATCCACTGCAGTGCTACAGAATGCTAAAAACATTTGATGATATGGGCAGAACAAACTGGGCATCCAATGTTAGAAACTTATTATTCAGAAACGGGTTTTCTCATGTCTGGTTAAACCAGGGCGTTGCTAACGTCCAGCTATTCATGTATACTTTCAAACAACGATTGAAGGATATCGCCTACCAAACTTGGCACAACGAAATCAACAGCTCCACTTTTTTCAGCCATTATTCACAGTTTAAACATGAACTTTGCCTGGAGTCCTACATAACAGAACTAAAATATAAACATCTGATCCGTGCACTTATCAAGTTTCGTATTTCGAATAACAACTTTAAAGTGAACATGTACAGACTTAATGAGGATGCCCCACGTACGAACTACTTGTGTTCATTCTGTGACGCCGCGGAAACAGAAACTGAGAATCACGTATTCTTCCGATGTGTCAAATATCAGCGGTACAGAGACAGTTACTTCAAACAATTACAAAATGTCTACAAAGGCCCACTCACTCTGCAGTCAATTTTGCAATCCAAAAACCCCCAAGTTATATACTGCACAGCACTATTTTTACATTATGTTTTTAAAGTAAGATCCCAATACTAATTATGACCACTGTTTCACGAAACTGCCATAGTTTGTGACTGTATTATAGGCCATGAGGCCGATATTACGAATAAACTTCTGTCTGTCGTGACAACATAGACAACTAGATAAACCTTGTTGTAGACAGACCAGAGGACACGCCCACAACACTATCAACTTATGTCTGTATGTTTCTAACAGAATCTCCTGACATGTAGCAGCACAACACCACCATATTCTGTCTGTATGTTTCTACCAGAATGTCATGACATGTAGCAGCACAACACTATCATCTTCTCTCTGTATGTTTCTACCAGAATGTCCTGACATGTACCAGCACAACACTATCATCATTTGTCTGTATGTTTCTACCAGAATGTCCTGACATGTAGCAGCACAACACTATCATCTTCTGTCTGTATGTTTCTACCAGAATGTCCTGACGTGTAGCAGCACAACACTATCATCTTCTGTCTGTATGTTTCTACCAGAATGTCCTGACATATAGCAGCACAACACTACCATCTTCTGTCTGTATGTTTCTACCAGAATGTCCTGACATGTACCAGCACAACACTATCATCATTTGTCTGTATGTTTCTGTACCAGAATGTAACACTACCATCTTCTGTCTGTATGTTTCTACCAGAATGTCCTGACATGTAGCAGCACAACACTACCATCTTCTGTCTGTATGTTTCTACCAGAATGTCCTGACATGTAGCAGCACAACACTACCATCTTCTGTCTGTATGTTTCTACCAGAATGTCCTGACATGTAGCAGCACAACACTACCATCTTCTGTCTGTATGTTTCTACCAGAATGTCCTGGCACAACACATCATCTTCTGTCTGTATGTTTCTACCAGAATGTCCTGACATGTAGGAGCACAACACTACCATCTTCTGTCTGTATGTTTCTACCAGAATGTCCTGACATGTAGCAGCACAACACTACCATCTTCTGTCTGTATGTTTCTACCAGAATGTCCTGACATGTAGCAGCACAACACTACCATCTTCTGTCTGTATGTTTCTACCAGAATGTCCTGACATGTAGCAGCACAACACTACCATCTTCTGTCTGTATGTTTCTACCAGAATGTCCTGACATGTAGCAGCACAACACTACCATCTTCTGTCTGTATGTTTCTACCAGAATGTCCTGACATGTAGCAGCACAACACTACCATCTTCTGTCTGTATGTTTCTACCAGAATGTCCTGACATGTAGCAGCACAACACTACCATCTTCTGTCTGTATGTTTCTACCAGAATGTCCTGACATGTAACAGCACAACACTACCATCTTCTGTCTGTATGTTTCTACCAGAATGTCCTGACATGTAGCAGCACAACACTACCATCTTCTGTCTGTATGTTTCTACCAGAATGTCCTGACATGTAGCAGCACAACACTACCATCTTCTGTCTGTATGTTTCTACCAGAATGTCCTGACATGTAGCAGCAGCTCATCAGTGTTTCTCTATTTACACGAGAACGTCTGTATGACACCCTCGTTAAGACAAACACGTAGCCACCCTCTCTCATCTATACACATTCCACGTGGATTCTGAATACAGTCCCTGGATGTCAGCAGATTTTGAACAAACTGTCCTGACTCAGTCAGATGGATGACTCTGTGCAGACTGTAAGTCTGTAACCAGGATGTCGCCTGTGCCGGTACTTGTGATACCCTGAGGACACTCCAGTGCTGTGTCTCCTGTAGGGCTGTAGCTGAACACCACATCTCCCTCGGGGGTCAGACACACGACACACTTGGTTCCCCATGTCAGACACCAGTATGTTACCTGTCCTCGTGGTACTGAGGAAGTCGGGATACTGTAAGATGTTGTTACCTTTGTGGAGTGGACTGATAGACCTCAGCACGTTTCCTGTCATATCCAGGATATCAACACAGGGAGGAGACCGGGAACCAGCTGCTAGTGTTGATGGAGTCAGGGACGTTATACCCATATACTGTTTGCTGGTAGTGATGGTTGTCAGTAACTCCAGGTCTGGTTTGACTTTTACTGTTACAATCTGTTCACTGGACGGGACAGTGACAGCCACCCGGTTGTGCGTCAACTTGGTCAGACTCAATGGGCCATCACTCAGACTGAGTTTACTGTGCTGTGTCTGGTTGTTCTTGACGTAGAAGGACTTCACACTGGTGTTGCTGTAATCTGTGACTACAACGGTGTCTGTGTCATTCACCACCAGCACTGTCACGTCAATGGGGATTGGTTTACTCCTATCGTCTGCTACTGTGATGTCAATGGTGTCTTGTAACACAGGAGTAGCCTTCAGGTCCAGCACACTCTCATACAGGACCTCTATCTCACCCAGCTGTAGATCGTCCAGTGCTTTACTCAGCTTGTCTGTGTCCTGTCTGAATGTGACACTGGCTATTCTTCCTCTCTCCTTCAGGTCAGCGTCTCCGACAGCACCCACATCACCGGCCTCACATCCCTGATACATCTCATACACATCCATGTCACACTCCGATTGTAGAGCCTGGTCTATCAGCTCCGTCTGATGTTGGTACATCTGTACTGACATCTCAGCTAACTTTACGTCTTCCTTCAATTGTCCGATGTGTTTATGTGAAATATCTTCCATTCGATCGAGTAGCTTCCTTTCTTTCTTCTTGGCCCGATCTATAACTTTCTGGCATGCGGACTGAATGTGTGACTTCATCAGTGAATAATGATCTCTCTCTCTCTGCTCCTGCAACTTTTGTTCCTTCACACGAAGTTTCGTCTCACCTTCCTTCTTTGTTAATGACTTCTTCATTTCTGTCAGCTCTGTTTTCATTGTCACCATCTGTGAGGTGATCGTGACAACGGCATCACATTTCCTGTGGTAAAGTATGCAACATTTCTGACACACGGCCTTCTTGCAGTCCTGACAGAGAAATTCTAGCGACTCCTGTTGGTGCTCCTTGCACATGACCTTTCGCTTTCCCTTTCCCTTGACCTCTCCAGACAGGTCAGTGACGTCATGGTTTCGAAATGATGGGATGCGGTTGTGAGCTCCAGTACATTTCTCACAGAGTGCATCATCACAGACGGAGCACCAAGCAACAGCCACAGTTGTCTCCCCATGTTCTTGGCAGTAGGTACAATTGGTCGTATCTGTAAACACATCACATTTGCAAAATAACATCTCGCCTACTTGAAACACTTACACATGTTTATCTCTCATTGTATCTTTATAGCACAGGAAACACTAGTAACAAACATTGACCAACTCAGTAAGACCCTACTGACACATTTCTGAGACGATCACTTATTGAATTCTGTGGAGCACCCAGCGACACATAAGCTGGCCACTTTATATGGTACACCTGCAGTCCATCTGTGGGCGTTGCTTTATACATGGGAGTCTCAGTACAATGGTTAAGGAGTCATGTCAACTGGGATGGTCGGGAGAGAACAGAACAGAACAGGACTCCTGGGATGCGGTGTCGGGACAGGTAAATGGGAGGGTCGGGATGGGTTGGGCAACCGGGTGAATGAGACCCCTGGGGTGTGTGGGACAGGTGAATGGGGTGATGATGGGATGGGGACAGGGGAATGGGAGTGCTGGGGTGGGTGGGACAGGTGAATGGGACTGCTGGGGTGGGTAGGACAGGTGAATGGGACAGGTGAATGGGGTGGGTGGACAGGTGAATGGGGTGACAGGTGAATTGGACAGGGTGACATGATTGTGGATGGGACAGGGAATGGAGGTGGGGGGTGGGGTGGGACAGGTGCAATGGCATTGCTAGGGTGGATGGGACAGGTGAATGGGAGTGTTGGGGTGGGTGGGACAGGTGTGGACCGGGGTGGGGGTGAAGGTGACTACTTGGATGCATTAGTGGTGATCCATGGGACTGCTAGGATGGATGGGACAGGTGAATGGGACTGCTAGGGTGGGTGGGACAGGTGAATGATTGGGAGACCGATCTGGGGTGGGTGGGACAGGTGAATGGGATGCTGGGGTGAGTGGGACAGGTGATTGGGGGACGGGGTGGTGGGACAGGTGAATGGGATGCAGGAGTGGGACAGGTGAATGGGACTGTTGGGGTGGGTGGGACAGGTGAATGGGAGTGGGACAGGTGGGACAGGTGAATGGGAGAGTCTGGGGTGGGTGGGACAGGTGAATGGGAGTGTTGGGGTGGGTGGGACAGGTGAATGGGACTACTGGGGTGGGTGGGACAGGTGGATGGGAGTGTTGGGGTGGATGGGACAGGTGAATGGAATAGTCGGGGGTGGGTGGGACAGGTGAATGGGAGTGTTGGGGTGGGTGGGATAGGTGAATGGGAGGGTTGGGGTGGGTGGGACAGGTGAATGGTACTGCTGTTCTGGGTGGGGTGGATGGGACAGGTGAATGGGAGTGTTGGGGGGTGGGTGTGACAGGTGAATGACATTGCTGGGGTGGGTGGGACAGGTGAATGGGAGTGCTGGGTGGGTAGGAATGACAAGGTCGGGACAGGTGAATGGGAGTGCTGGGGTGGGTGTGACAGGTGAGTTGGAGGGTGGGTGGGACAGGTGGGAGCGTTGCGGTGGGACAGGTGAATGGGAGTGCTGGGGTGGGTGGGACAGGTGAATGGGAGTGCTGGGGTGGCTGGGACAGGTGAATGGGAGTGCTGGGGTGGGTGGAACAGACGATGGCATTGCTAGGGTGGATAGGACAGGTAAATGGGAGTGCCAGGATGGGACAGGTGAATGAGAGTGCTGGGTAGGATGGGACAGGTGAGTGGGAGCGTTGGGATTGGTGGAACAGGTGAATGGCAATGCTGGGATGGGTGGGACAGATGAATGGGAGAGTTGGGGTGGGTGGAACAGGTGAATGGCAATGCTGGGGTGGGTGGGACATTCTTCTGCCACTAACCTACTGACATAGACCACTAGACTCGTTTTATTTGCAGCAAATGTTATTTGGTTACTTTTGCACACTTGGCCAACGATTTAGGAATTCCTCTCCGGAAATGGAAAACAGACGGGCAGACATGGTGATCGCTATATCTCACTGTTTCTCAAACAGGAATATACATATATCTCTTTGGTAGAGGGTATAAAGTTGTAGCTACCTTTGGATCCAGGGCCAAACGAGTCCAAGAGTCCCTGGATGAGAAAGATAGGTTTGACGTCATCCGCCCACTCCTCCACTGGTCTCTCAGGGGCGGACACTTTCGTCATCTTTCTGCAGAATGGACACAGGAGGGACTTGGCACTGATGGCTTCTGGTCTGGTTTTGGTGTAGTTGACGATACATTTCCGACAGAAGGTGTGATTACACACAAGTGTACAGGGCTTGTCAAACACCTCTGTACATATTGTACAGGACAAGAAATGGTCCGTCAGCTTCTGAGAGGTTGCCATCTGAAACCAGGTAAATAATGTCTACACTCTTGACATCTATCTAACATTGTCCAACTGCAGGTGATTCAGAACCTCTGTACAGACAGGTGACTGTAAAGTTTAACTCACTCACTCACTGTCTCAATGTACCTCAGGTGATGTTGATGCCGCAGTGTGTACATATCACGTTTTACAGATTGGTCAGATAGTCAAGTATGCAATTAAAGCTTATGGCATATATAAACGCTTCCAATAGTGTCTTTGGTATATGTAACCATCTTTGGTTCTGTGGAATTACGATTTGCACACACGAATCAGTCAAGGATATTGTGTGTAATGAATCGTCGGGTGTTGTCAATGGATGTGAATAGCCAATATCAATGGTAAAAAAGTTCCATCAAACTTTGTGGCAGACTAATTCTGAGATCTAATAATGAGATCAAGAGTAAAAGAGTATTTGCAGCCCCACACGGCCATGTGTTGATCGACCTAGAAGTCGTTAGATATGGACAGCCATAGCATGTGATATCAAATCTCCGGGACTTCAGGGACCACATGCACGAAGCCATCTTAGCCCTACGACTATCTTATGTCTATACTGAAGCAAGGGTGTTACGACCGCTGTAGCGCTAAGATCGCTTTACATGCAAATTAAATGACCCAGCAAAAGGGGCACGGGTTGCCCAGCCGTCTGAGGTGCGGGGATTGTTCTTCAACACCAAGTATATTATCCTAAATATTATAGTTCCTAAATATAACATAGTTATACTTGATAGAGGAACAGTAAAAACAGAAAAAGACCATTTTCCCACAAGAAGAGTGTCCGTTACAACTGGCGAGAAATTGGTACAAATCCTGAATACACGCTGCGCTCTTACAGTTGGTTTACTTGCTATGACACAATAAAGCCATATAAAGCAAAATTCCCCCTTGTGAAATGGTCAATATGATGATTATGATTTTCTTGAAGTATCAGTGGAGCACAACAGCTGACTGAATACCTCCTGTGTCATTCCGTGTTGATCACGTGTGCTCATTACCATAACGAAAGTAGACAACATGCACTTCCTTGTTGTGTACACTATCTACATGTACGATGTATGTAGGGCACAGGCAACACACTGGAGATTGTGGCGGCTGTAGACCACGACAGGAGACTAATACACACACACTGCTGGCATAAACAACACCTAATTATCATTGTTGACATAAACTACACCTAATTATCGACTCACTTTACTCGTTAAGATCTGACTCGTCAAGATCTGACGGAATACAACAAACAATATTCGACTTTGGACTGAGGCCTTGGACAGGGCGTAAATAGTTATAAATATACTGAATACTTGATACATCAGATAACCAGAAACAGTGTGCTTGTGTTTCCATCAATACCAGGACCAACCATCCAGTATTTGATACATTATGATGTATAGCAACTTACCGCACTGTCCACCTTCACACTTCACAACCGCCACTTGCCGTGTGGGCGTCACCAGCGGTGTAGAGGGTAAATGTACACCCGCGACAAAGTATTACCTGTCAGGACAGGTAAAGATGATCTTGTGCGATATCTACACTTCGTAGCAAAGGGGAAGGACCAGCAAAATGGTTGGGCGCTGACAAACCTAAAGTACTGTCGGAAATAGAAAACAACTGTTTTAGGCTGTTACTCTATATCCCTAAAATTTACTCAATTGCAAATAGCATATGTGGAAATAACCCACATCGGCCTAACAGGGCGTTCAGTGGGATGCATAATTGGATATCCAGAAAAAGCATGTCAAAGCTTAGAAAAAATAGGAACAGCTGCTGAAAACAATAGATCAGACTAAAGATGGCAATTAGGTCGCTCAGCCTCGGGTGTTGTTTTAATTAATCTCCATCTTTAGTGTCTTGGGTGGCTAAGATATGGGTGTCTAAGTTTTGGAAGATAACCTGAAATGCATGTGCTGCCTACAGGCACAAGGGGTCATCTCAAAGAAGATTTTATATTTTTCATGTGTGTTGAATATGTTTCATCTATTGATTACGTGTCTTTCTTTCATAAAGTTTATGTTGAGATGTGTAAAAGAGTATGATACCCATAGAAAAGATTAAATCAGCTATCGTATTAAATGTCGCAAAATATATAGGTGGCATGACCATCCGAAGATCGACAGGACTGGATGTTATTTGTAAATTGTTATGACATGCCGTTTACTTTCCCAGCTTAATTCCCCTAAAGGATTATCATATCTTAGCTGATATCTCTATCCCCCAGCCCGATCCCAATCACCGTCTGCGACACCCGTCCTGGTTTTGCTTTTGAGACGACCCCTCCTATCTCTTCCTTTTTATAATGATAGTGAGATTTCATGGTAGCTACATCCTTAATAGTTTCAATATCAAAGTTATAATTTTTTACGTCAGCTATCGTTTATTATGAAGCTAAGTTTAATTTCAAAATGGGCATATAAAAAGTGTCCTTTGTAATACAATATCATCGCACACTAATTTGCATGTGGTCTGTTCCAAATAAGTCAGTTTGTTTGAGAAGACAAGTTAAAATTGATATTGAAGGTGTCACCGTAAACGTTACTGTTGCTGAATATTCCAGATGTCATTCCGTGGAGTGTAGTAGTGTTTTGGTTTACCTGACTGCTGTTAGGCCTACATTCAAACCATTTTGGAAGTGACATGCGTTGTTGGTGAGAGACAGCTTTAGACGAATTGTCGACAGGAACAAGAGAGTTTTCTTTACTACCAGTAAGGATACCAGACATGTGTTTCTGCATTGGAAGGGAAGCAACAGCATAGTCATTGAGACTGTTCACAGTTTTGTGCCCTGACAACTGACATATTGTCGTCGGTTCTACACCGGAATGAAGCAGCTGTGTACACATGGACTTTCGAGCACTGTAAGTTGTGATTTTGCCGACCAAACCGGCACGGGAATCCATGTTTTTCACGAGGCCACCGAGTGTGTTGATGCCAAGAAGACCGATTTGAAACCATAGACCATCAGACTTTCTCTTGTGATTGATCGCTAGGTAAAATGGTCCATCGGGAGCTAACATGCTTTTCGGCCGTTGTTTGGCAAATGATTTGTACACTGGGAGGATACATGTTTCATTTCCGGGGAATATTTTAGGATTGAACATGCGATGGTGAGTGGAATTTCCGTCCCTTGTTTCAGTCTCCCTTTCCCAAAGCTCGAGATACTCCTGGCCATCAGAATCTGTTTTAAGCTGAACGTCACCCCATTTTCATTTTCTGCTTTCATCCCGCCCACGCAATCGAAACATTTTAGTAAAATAGTACCATAAAAATTGACAGAGGTGAATGACTCCTAAATTCGCCCTTTTCCCACAACCGTTCCTCATCTTCCACTGACAGAGACTCGGATTTATTTGGCCGATTCCTCTTACCTGTTTGTTTTAGTTCATTTTGTTTTTGGCTTCAAGAACTTTTCTACTGGCACGGAATTCCGCATCTCGCACAATGTTAGAGGGGTCATCGTTGTCAGGAAGGTGGCGATCAATGGCGCGATGGTAGGAGGTTAATGTGTCAGGTTCGTAGGGTTCACCATTGTCCTTCTCCAGAGAAAGAATGTAGGATCCAATAAGAACATCAAGTTCTTGAGGAGGGAGAGTCAGCATGTCTTGTTTCACATTGTTTTCCAATAAAAAATGGTTGAATTTAGAAACAAGACTGTTTGTTTTCTGTACCGTGGTGACACTTTTCTTGGTCTTGATGTATGCCTTAAGATCTTTGATGTTTTTTGTTACGAGAGGCACTGGTGATTATTCCAAAGTAATAATAGAGTATTCCAGTTCAAACGTACCAAAATTCTCGTCCAATAACATGTCAAATAAGTCTTGATGGATAGTACCATCGATGTCATTGTTGCCGACATTTTAACAACAAGCAGACGATGTATGTCATGTGAAAAAAAGACAAGCACATTTTTTTCTTTCAATCTTTTAATGTAATCAACAAGTACGATATTGTTTTACGTTTCTAAATTAATGATATACAACCTAAAAATCATATTATTATATTCAATTGACACACCTCTCGTTAGCTGGGTACGGAAAATCCCGGAAAGTGCCAAGCTTTGGAGAAAGAGGTTCAATACGGAATCTGGAGTGCAGTACGGAATTTGACCACGTCATCCGTATTGCACCCCTGTATTACTATCCTAAGTTTACATGGGTATGTAATAAAAAAGTAGAATACGGGTTGACTTGAAATCAGTGTTGAAGATAAGCATAAGTGGCATAAATACTCACAACATTTAAAATTGATTTCCTCGAGTGGCATACAGAAGCTGATATGATGAACAGGTAAGATGTTTTAAAGAAAGACTATTGCAGTGGGTGCGACGTTCGGTGTAGATGCTAACACCGTTATCAAGCAGGTGATACACAACATTATGAACAAGGAGAATATATACATGAAAGATGTTTGAGCCAACCGGTTTCACCATGTTGTGCTGTAGTACATGGGTCTAATGTTTACTGCAAGACTTGGAGTTCAGTTAATCTTCTGTCAGGGACACATATGTCAGACATATCGTTTATACAATTATATGCTGATATCTCGTGTATTGGAGATATCCATATACCTGAGGTATCCCAAATATATCTTTTCATCTTTATGGTTTCTTGTGTATACTCAACATCATACTGTCTCGGCTTTTAAAGATCCTTCCCTGATCTGAGAGTGTGATTACATGTATGCCAAGTCAGACACATACACTTGACTGTGGTTACAAGTGAACACCTTGATAGGACCCTCAGTTCTGAGACAAACATACATGTAACCATATGGGTCTACACAGACACCCGCAGGACACGTAATACCGCCCTCTTTTGTCAGTATGTTTCTGACAAACTGTTCTGACTCAGTCAGATGAATGACTCTGTGTAGACTGCAGTCTGTAACCAGGATGTCGCCTGTGCCGGTACTTGTGATACCCTGAGGACACTCCAGTGCTGTGTCTCCTGTAGGGCTGTAGCTGAATACCACATCTCCCTCGGGGGTCAGACACACGACACACTTAGTTCCACAGTCAGACACCAAGATGTTACCTGTCCTGGTACTGAGGAAGTCGGGATACTGTAAGATGTTGTTACCTTTGTGGCGTGGACTGATAGACCTCAGCACGTTTCCTGTCATATCCAGGATATCAACACAGGGAGGAGAGTGGGAACCGGCTGCTAGTGTTGATTGAGGCAGGGACGTTATACCCCAATACTGTTTGCTGGTAGTGATGGTTGACTGCAGTACCAGGTGAGGGTTCACTTCAACTATTACAATCTGGTTCCTGATCGGGACAGTGACAGCCACCCGGTTGTGTGTCAACTTGGTCAGACTCAATGGGCCACCACTCAGACTGAGTTTACTGTGCTGTGTCTGGTTGTTCTTGACGTAGAAGGACTTCACACTGGTGTTGCTGAAATCTGTGGCTACAACGCAGTCTGTGTTATTCACCACCAGCTGTGTCACGTCAATGGGGTTTGGTTTACCCCTATCGTCTGCTACTCTGATCTCAATGGTGTCTTGTAACACAGGAGTAGCCTTTAGGTCCAGCACACACTCATACAGGACCTCTATCTCACCCAGCTCTAGATCGTCCAGTGCTTTACTCAGCTTGTCTGTGTCCTGTCTGAATGTGACACTGACTATTCTTCCTCTCTCCTTCAGGTCAGCGTCTCCGACAGCCTCACATCCATGATACATCTTATACACATCCATGTCAAACTCAGATTGTAGAGCCTGGTCTTTCAGCTCCGTTTGTTGTTGGTACATTTTTACTGACATCTCACCTGACTTTATGTCTGCTTTCAGTTGTCCGATGTGTTTATGTGAAATATTTTCCATCCGATCGAGTAGCTTCCATTCTTTTTTCTTGGCCCGATCTATAACTTTCTGGCATGCGGACTGAATATGTGACTTCATCAGTGAATAATGATCTCTCTCTCTCTCTGCTCCTGCAACCTTTGTTTCGTCACACGAAGTTTAGTCTCACCTTCCTTGTTTGATAATGATTTCTTCATTTCTGTCAGCTCTGTTTTCATTATCACCATCTGTGAGGGGATCGTGACAACGGCATCACATTTCCTGTGGTAAAGTATGCAACATTTCTGACACACGGCCTTCTTGCAGTCCTGACAGAGAAATTCTAGCGACTCCTGTTTGTGCACCTTGCACATGGTCTTTCGCTTTCCCTTGACTTCTACAGACAGGTCAGTGACGTCATGGTGACGAAATGATGGGGTGCAGTTGTGAGCTCCATAACATTTCTCACAGAGTGCATCATCACAGACGGAGCACCAAGTAACAGCCACAGTTGTCTCCCCATGTTCTTGGCAGTAGATACAGTAAGTCGTATCTGTAAAGACATCACATTTGCAAAGTAACATCTCACGTACTTTGAAGAAGAAAACAAGCTTTATTGTATTTTAGGCATCTGGCCCACATACAGAGTAAACAAAATATACAGTATAGCTCATAGTCTGTCATACAGACCCTGAAGCAAATATATCCAAGAAAGCCCACGCAAGTCTAGAAAATGTGGCAAGTCTAGATTTCCACAGCTTCAGGCTGAAAATGAAGAAAGTCTCAGGGCTCCTTTTCATTATATTTTATTTTTTTATTATGAGCTCTTCCTCTGTAAAATATTGTCATTTCAGAGACTTGTTGTTAGTCTATATTGCTCACACAATCAAATCTTACATGTAACCTTACATCAATCTGGATATACAATATCTTTCAATGCGTTATTTCTTAAGCGTGTTTCATGTTTTAAACATAATGACAGGTGTAATACATCGGTATCATTTCTAGAGACCAAAGAAGAAGAGAACGCAATTTCTTGTTGTTTAATTAAGTACTTTTTGGCATATTAAGAATTCTCAGGTTATCAAGAGTAGGACATGTAAGAACTGAGTGGATTTCATTCTCTATACCTCTTTTACATAAGATACAAATCATTTCCTTTTTATCAATCCTTATTTTCTTACCTTGATTGATCATTAAGTCTGACAAATCCAATCTGAATCAAACAACTAAGTCACGTAACGTTCCAGACGTGAGTACGAAAAGGTATTTTAAACGATCTGTAAGATTCAAATGTTGTACTTTCGTTTATATTCGATTTCAGATATTGAAAAAAAATATTTATGGAGCGTTCCCTGAATTTATTTAAAAATATATGAACATTACCAATTGTCTGGGACAACCAGACAATGACATAACCGTATGAGAGTAAAAGGGTTCGAAGCCCATGTTACCTTACCTACCTAAGTGTAGGAGCATATTGTAGGTTATTTTCGGTAGACGTTGTTCATGCATGTCTAAAATGTGTAACCAGAATTTACGGCATCTGTTTTGTTAAGTGGATATCTACCACATTCACCATAATCCATAGAATTCGAAGTAGAGGGCGCCACCCTAAGATATATTTACATGCAAAAAAGGTGGGGGGTTTTCAATCGTATTTTCAGGAATCCCCATACTTCTGAACCGTACATTAAAAAATGGTTGTATTTGAGAATCTAACTGTTTAAAAAAGACATTTGGGGGGAATATTTCCAAGTTTAGAACAAATGTGGATTTCTTGAAGCTCTTTTTGCGAGGAAATGCCAAACCAGGATATGCGTGAAATTGTAAGCATTGACAGGCTTTCTTTGAAAACTCGGCCCACCCCTCCTATAAACTACAATTTTATATTTGACAAATTTACCGATATTTCCATTCATTGCTATATTTTTTCCCCAAAATTCAGTTGAGTTTGTGGTTCAAGAACAGGGTCTGATACTAATATTACATCATCAGGAAAGAGAAGTATTAGAAGTTCTGCTAATTTAGGTAACATTTGTACTCCATGTTTACCACAATTAAGAATTTTAAAGTACAATTCTTTGATGAAAGCATCAAGGACTAAGCATGCATCCCTGACGCATCCCATTAGGACAAGCAAACACGTCTGAGAGGTCATATCCACAACGAACACATGATTTAACATTTGCATACATAGCATTCAAGGTGGAATACATTTTACCTCTCAGGCCAACTTTTGTGATACATTGCCACAATTTAGAACAATCAACTAAGTCAAATGCTTTTTAAAAATCTACAAAGGCTACATATAGTTTATGTTTTATTTACTATTACCCGTTTTTTTAATTATTGCATATAAAGTAACCATGTTATCAGTAAGTGTATAGTTCTCTCGGAAACCAGTCTGGCATTCTGGTAGTGTGTCGTGCATATTTGCCCAAAGCGAAATTCTGTTCTCAAGGAGTCACTCATCAGTGATATAGTTGTCTGGACTTTTTGAGTCCTCCTTATTGACTTCTTGAGGAACGGGATTATAACAGAGGACGCCCAGGAATGTGGGAAAATACCTTCATCAAAGATTTTGTTAAAATGTTTCTAATGAATGACAGAATTTCAGGCCTCGAACATTTCCACATTTCAGCTAAGATATTATCAAGGCCTTGTGCCATTCGTAATTTCAAGTGGTTAATAGCTTCACCTTTCTCACTATCACTTATGGCTGATTCCATTAACAATTCGTCCACATCATCATAGGGTGCACTGAGCATATTATCATTAACATCAACGTTTACATTGGGAACGCCATACGTTTCTTCAATTGAAAATAATAATGTGAAACGCGTAAACCACTGTTGTTTTTAAACACATCTTGGACGTAGTTCGA